CTAGTAATACTGATTCAGGCTAGTAGTTTTATTAATTATACTAATAATTATATAATTTATTAAAGCTGTTAGCAAAGTGAGGAGAGGAATGTCTCTTGAAATTGATGACTGCAAATGCTGTCTTGAAGCAATGACAAGACCAGACTATCAGCCATTAGTGGATAATAAAAGAATAATAGAGAAATTACAAGAAAGAATAACATTAATGAATATGGAACTAATTACTGCAAGGAAGCACAATGAGAAGATCATGAAAGAGATTGAAGGTTTGTATAATAATGATGTGTGTACTGTCATTTTATTGTTGATGTTAATTAGATTTTGAAGATGACGATTCTGAAGTTGAAGAGATTGAGTATGATAGTCTAAGTGATGAAGAGGATCAAATGTGTACAGTGAGACTGAGATAACAAGTAGACTCACTGATTACTTTTAATTTATAGTTCTTATTATATTGTAATCATCCTGTTACTAGTGAATTAACTAGTAAATTATTTCAAGTTCATAAAGATGAATTACTACCCACAGTACTGGATAAAGCTTATGAGGTTTTCTTATTTTTAGTTGCTTTGTTTTATACTTTTCTCCTCATTTCTTTATCAGTTAATGGAATTAGCTCCTCATATTCCTATTGAGAGATGCCATTTAGTTAAATATAATTTTATTAATGATGTAATGGAACAGTCCTTTGATCTTGATAAGGTATATCTATCCTATAATTGTTATAATTATCTCATTATTATATGTAGTTTCAGGATCAAACTATAGGAAAGCTTATGGGTGTGGCTGGATATTGTGGATTATTCTTAGAAACTTGTAGAGATATTGAAACCTTTAAGAAATACAATACTGGAGGTGGGTGTGGTTGGTTACCATGACAATACCTCTAATCACATGTACATGTGTTTGATGGTGTAGGTATTAATCTAGAGGTATCAGTGGTTGATCTGTCAACTGGTGAAGTAGGACTAGCTAAACCAATAAGAGGTGAAGAAGGTTGGACTGTTGGAGAATTAAAGCAATATGTAGGAGAAGTAAGAGGAAAATATAGGCTGAGATTTCATATTGATCATTCCTCTTCTACCCTCTCTCAATTTGATATTTAGTTATTTAATCTCAATTCATCATGTATGAGGTTACTAGTACTTGATGGAACTGTCTCAGCCTGTGATTTTATAAATTTAGAAGATGTTAAAAGTTCCTTAAAGGAAGTGCTTTTTAAAGGAGATGCATTTAGTTCACACAAACTGCACAGAGAGCAACTTGTAGTACCAACAGTAAGTCCTAATTGGGCAAGGCCCTTACTCATGAAATATTACAGTATAGCGGGAAATTGCAATTTGGCAAATTACTAAATTTTGGTGATTGGCGGATTTTAATTTGGAGGGTTTGTGGCCACGTGCCATTGAGCATGTACATAATAGCTGAAAATAGCTGATTTTTATTTTGGCAAATGGCTATCAAAACGCCAATTTGCCGAATTTAATTCCCTCCAAAATTTCCTGCTATACTATATCCCAACTGAGTTTGACACCAGCCGCTTGGAATTTGAAAAATGTAGGTATACGTCACTGATGACGTTTTATAATGATATTCATAGAAGCATGGCCGACATTTTACAGCTGTGTAGTTGGCATGTATCGCAAGGTTTTGTTTGTTCTGATAAGCAGTACAATAGCTGCTGGAGTCAACTATACTAGGTTCACACTGACTTTGTCAACTTACATTTTGAATAACTTTCTTATTTTACATGCTAAAGACAGCAGTTTTTTTCTATTGTATTTTTCTCGAAAGAGCCGGTATTTTGATATATAATACAACTAGAGCGCAGTTGTGGAAAAGGGGGAAAGAAATCGAAGGACTTGGGCACTTAGAGAGCACTCGACGCCATTACTACCGCCCACGTGCGGTAACCGCGTAGGCGTATAAAACAAAATGGTGACCAACTGTACACCACATGAACCACCAAGAACAGGATATATTAGCAGAAAAGAAGGCAGGGAATGAGATATAACTAAAAGGACATGAAAAGATGAGTATATCTAACCTACTGGACTATTTTTGGCTGCATATACAAATGGAAATAAAGAGAAGAACGATATAAACTATCAGGTAGCTATAATGAGCCATATCTTTTAGTTTACTTTGTTTAAGCCTAGGATTTGTATTTGCACCATGAAAAGAACAATAATTTTATGCTGTGGAACTTATTATTACACATAAACATGAGGAAAAATGACAGCAGATCACAGGAGCGATGGGCTGACTCAATTAACATTC